AGTGGTTGCTCCATGTAAATCTCCTCATCTAGATCCCCATTCAAGAAAGCAGTCTTAACATCCATTGATGTACCTGCAACTTATGAATAGAGGCTAGTGCAAATAATGCACGAATCGTTGAGATTTTTGTAACGGGAGAGTATGTATCAAAGTAGTCTAAACCAAACCTTTGAGTGAACCCTTTGACGACTAACCTTGCCTTGTACCGCTGAATCGAACCATCTGGCCTTAGTTTCTTCCGGAAGACCCATTTGTTGGAGATTGGTTTGAATCCCTTAGGCAAGTCAACTAATTCCCAAGTATGATTAGACATTATCGATTCTAGTTCATCATTAACAGCGCTTTTCCAAAAACTAGCATCGATAGATCTTATAGCTTCTTCAAAAGTTTTAGGATCCTCATCTAATAGAAAAATTTGAGCTATAGGATCTGAAATGAAGTCTAAATCATTTATCTCAGAAATAAAGGAAGTAATAAAGTCTGGTCCAAAAGAGGTTTCAACTCTTTGCCTTTTACTTCTTCTAGGCTCAAAATCAATTTGTTCAAAAGACCTAGCAGGATTACTAGAAGAAGTTGATGGAATATATTCTATTTGTGTTTCAATATTTATTCTCGGTTCCTTTAAAGGAAAAGTATTTTCAAAGAAAACAGCATCTCTTGATTCACAAATAGAATAATCTTGTAAAAGCATGAATCTGTATGCAGCACTATTCGTAGCATACCCTATAAACACTGCATCAACGGTTTTAGGTCCGATGGTGGACTTCTTAAAATCTGGCAAGCCCACTTTAGCCAGACACCCCACACTTTCAGGTATTGTAATTTAGGAGCGTATCCTTTCCACAATTCATATGGGGTAGAATCTAATTTCTTATGAGGAACTCGGTTCAAGATATGAGTTGCTGATAGAATGGCCTCCCCCCATATGTTATCAGATAACCCGGAACTTATTAGTAAAGAATTCATCATCTCTTTTAAAGTTCTATTTTTCCTTTCGGCTATACCATTCTGTTGAGGAAAATAGGGGGCTGATGTTTCATGAATTATGCCATTCTTTTCACAAATATCTTTTAAGAAATTAGATCCATATTCACCACCTCTATCAGATCTAACCCGTTTGATTCTCCTTTCTAACTGATTTTCAACTTCTGCCTTATAAATAAGAAAGAAGTTTTCAGCTTCATCTTTAGTTCTTAGGAGATAAACTTTTGTATATCTTGAATAATCATCTACAAAAGTTATGTAGTAGTGTTTTCCTCCTTTACTTTCAGTGTTTCTAAAATCTGCTAGATCAGTATGAATAAGTTCTAACAGTTCAGTCTTTCTATTAGAAACAGTCTTAAAGTGAGGTCTAGTATGTTTAGCTTCTACACAAATCTCACATTTGTTAAAGCTAGTTGTGTCTAGTTTAGGCAGAACATTCATATTCATTAATTTCTTTAAAGCATGAATATTCACGTGTCCTAATCTAGCATGCCACATATCAATGGATTCAACAATATAAGCAGAAGTGGTAGCTTTATTTTCATTAAATTGAGTTTCTATGACAAATAAACCATTGCTTAAAAACCCTTTCCCCACATAATCACCATTTCGGGAAAGTACAAGTTTATCTGCCTCAAAAACTAACTTAATGCCTGCCTTATTCAGAAGCCCACCACTTATCAAATTTCTACGCAAGGCAGGTACATACAGAACATTATTTAAAGCCAGAGTTTTACCAGAAGTCAGCTTGAGTAAAACCTTGCCTTTGCCTAGCACTTCAGAGCTGCTAGAGTTCCCCATGTACACACGTTCACCAGTGTTTCCATCCTCGAACTCGGTGAAAAACTCCTTCCTTGCGCAGAAATGCTTCGAAGCGCCAGTGTCAACTACCCATTCTGAACTGTTCTCCACCAGATTAACTTCTGAGACCACCGCAGCAATGATATCATCATCTTCTTCTACAACGTGCATCTGTGGCTTGTTGTCATTTTGGCGGTCTGAGCGGTGTTGGCATTGGTAAGCTTTGTGGCCAGGTAAACCGCAGACATAACACTTGAACGTCTTTCCTTCCAGTTTGGCCTTTCCTGACTTCTTGAAGTTGGTAGCCTTCTGTGGTTTCGTCTTTTTGTCTTGATTCCCACGTTTCATGATCTTCTTAAATTAGACTCAACCAAGTTAGCTCTAAAAGATAAATTACTCATAGAATTAGTAAGCTTATCTTTTAAACGGTTGGCTTCTTCAATCTTCATATGGCCCACAAGTTCTTCAAGCGAAATGTCTCTCTTCTTATGCTTAAGAGAGTTGCGGTAATCGGACCAGGACTTGGGCAGCTTCTCAATGAGTACATTGGCTTGCAGCACCTCACACATTTGCATCCCTTCAGCGATGATGTCAGCGACTAAGTTCTCATAGTCATGGACTTGATCCATTATTGGTTTGTCGTCTGTCATCTGGAATTTGAGCCATTCACCGACAACGTACTTCTTTATCCCCGCATCATCCGCACCATACTTCTTGTCGAGAGTGTCCCATATTGTCTTGGCACTCCTTTCTCTAAGGAACATATCAAATAGTTTATTTGACATGTGGCTGAGCAAATGTCCTCGTACCGTCTTGTTATCCTTCTCGTATTTCTCGTAGGTAGCGAGAACGGCGGCGGTAGTTGCTAAGGCATCATCATTGAGGATCGTATCCGCATCATTACCGACAGCTGGGGTTGGTGGCATGGTAGGTGGTGGCTTGAGCAACACGTAATCAAGATCAAGTTGCTCGAAGAATATCAGAATTCTTTGGGACCACCTTCTATAGTTCTTTCCATCAAGTGCATCGAGCTTGGAAAGATCGGGAATGAGTTTGCTCAAAGGTGTCGACATGATTGCAGTTTATGGAAATTCGTTTCTAAATTGTTGGATATATGAACTGCAAAACTACACCGTTAGCACTGACTGAAAATATAAACAGTAATTAAGAAGAACAGATTCGTAAACCGTGTCGTGGTAAGAACCACTGCCTTAGAAACGAATTCGCCTCGATGTGTGTAATCGCTGCAGTAGGCGGACCGTCCCCCGAGGTTAACACGGTCGCTCCAAATTCCGTACACCCGAAACCGGAGTGGACTGCTGGTGGTATTGTACTTCTGATCGGAAAGCACTCAGAGAGAACTCACGGAGAGAACTTTAGAAAACACTTTGTAAGTGAATTGTAAAATGTTTTGGAGTGAGTTGAGAAGCTGAATATAGCTCTCTATTTATAGGCTAGAAATAGGGTTAAAATCGTCCATAAAATTTCAGGATTAAACCTCTTATTTGTAACAGCTGAAACGTCTAGATGAACCTGACTCAGAAATAGTCCAGGTTCATTGTATCATTATTCAGCTGTTATAACTCCCGAAATTATATCATGTAACCCCTGGAATTAAATCAAATAACTCCTGTAACTCCTGATATTAACAGCTTGTCTCCTCTGTACAAAGCTGTAAATCAGTCCAGGTACATCTTAACGTTTCTGATTTAATTTAGGAATAAACTGTTTAATTTCTGATAAAAAATAATAATTCAGCTGTTATTATTTGAAATTCAAACAGTCCTCAGCAGCCTATAAATATCAGTTGATATCTTTCACATTTTCCATTTGTTTCTTTCAAAGAGAAATTCCTCAAGAATTTTCTCTAAAAAGATAGTATCCGCGCGGACGTGTCGAAGACACGTATTACCACGACCACGACCACGACCACGACCACGACCACGACCCGAGCCGAGCCGAGCCGAGCCGAGCCGAGCCGAGCCGAGCCGAGCCGAGCCGAGCCGAGCCGAGAGACGAGACGAGACGAGACGAGACGGACGGACGGCGGCGGCGGTGCGCGAGAGCCCCCCTTGTTCTCTATCACTCAACAAGGAAGTGGAATGTCAAGCCTTAAATACCATTCCCAATAGTGTTTCCAACACTATGTGGGATTGAGCATTACCAACAAATATCAAACTTAAAGTAATCGCTCCTTCTGTGCCGATTCCCCATAATTATTGTGCTGTGAATATTCATGTTGATACTCGAGTGATCAGAGGTACTGGAAGGATCCGAGCTTGTCACATAATCTTTGAATAAATGTAACCAACTACAAGAGGCCACAAAGAGGTCTAAACGCTCTCGGATATGGTTGGAGGCGAGATGTCCATGGAACTACGTGAGCCAGCCTATTTAATTTTATTATTATTATTTATTAAGCTAAGATTATTACAAAGTAGTATTTGTTATAAATATTCTCAACCATTTGATAATGGACGTTCAATCATTGTAGTAACTGATGTTCGAACCCATGACCTCTAAATAATATTTTACAATCCATACATATAATGCGCCTACTCTTGTTTACTTTCCATGCATATATGATATGGTTCCAGGCAGTGGCGTATGCACGTTGTGCATAGGATGTGGAAATGCCGACGTTGAAATTCGATTTTTTTTATTAATTATTTATTTTATTATTTGCGTTTATCTTAAAATTTTATTTGTATCTAACCTAAGATAAAAAAAAATTATGTTGTTAATGCGTGTCTACCCTCAATTATTTTTTTAAATCCGCTATTGATTACAAGTGTATGTTTTAGCGCTTAACGTTACTTGAGTTTGATCAAACGAAACAATAATGAGTTACCATTACTAAAAAAAAACACTTGCATATAGGTTTCCATGAAAGTTGAATAAGTTTCTCCTCTAACAATAACAATAATCCTAGGAACAAACTCCACCGAAGTTAGTATTAGAGATGGCAAAACAATTTCCACCCCGAAAAATTGTCCACTCATATGAATTCAAGTCGATAATGATTTGAATCAGAATTTTTTTTTTAATTGTCTGATAATGTCTGTTCAGAATCTTTCTTAAATAACTCTCCCCTTTACCACTGAATCTGAGAAACTTTGAATAATTTGATCATTTATCCAGTGGAGATAATTTTGCATTAAGTACCAGACATCTCAAGCTTAAGTGATTCAAAGCTCATATATACATATACACAATGATGGATACAAACTATATCTATTTGGGGACAAACAGAATAAAAATCATAAAGCTTTCCGAGTCTATCAATAAGGGGAACAATCTTTCATTTGTTCATCAACGACCAGTTTAATTTTAAGCGGAGGGTTTCATGCCTCCCTATAATAAGTCAAGCACTTTCCTGATGGGTGGTCACTGTGGGCCCTGATGCTATTGTAAAATGGGCTAAATTACATAACTGACACTGTTTGTTTTTAATTTTACTTTTCTAACACCGTTCGACCAATATTTCCAAAACTAGCACCCTTTCTGCTGAGTTGGCAAAGGCGCGTCCCCGGGGACGCGCTTTACCCGTGTTTTCGCTGAGTTGGATGCCACGTGTGAAAGGCGCGTCCCCGGGGACGCGCCTTTGCCATATCAGCAGACACGTGTGGAAGGCGCATCCCCGGGGACGCGCCTTTCATTAAATGTCATAAATGCCCCCATCCGTTTTTCCTAACTACCCCTCCTCCTCCCCTATATAAACCCCCTCAACCCTCACTCATTCTTCACACCAAAATCATCTTCTCATCTCTTATATACTCAAATTCTCCAAATATTTGAGTTTTAAATTTGTTATTAGTGGTAAGAAATTTATTTTTATGTTAGTATTTTTTAAATAGTTATTATTTTTATATTAATATATTATGTAAATATTATTTTTTTATTAAAATAATATTTATATAATTATTATTTATTAGAATTATTAATTTTTTTGCTAATTATATTGTTTTGTCTACAGTTATAATGGAAAACGAAATGCTGTTGCGATTGGATATTGATCATATCTCCAGACATTTTAGCGATATGGTAATATTTTTTATAATTAATGTTAATATTTAAATTTATTTTTATTTTAAAGTTATTATGAATTTATATTAATTTTTACTTTTTATAATATATATTATTTAGGATGCTGATCGTATTTTAGAAACTTTTATTAAAAATCCACGTATACCGACATCGGAACGTATTTTGCCATATTTGGCTTCTGCTGGGTTCGGGTATATTGCAACAATTATAGGCGGTTGCAAACTCGAACCTGTCCTAATTTCTGCACTGATTGAGAGGTGGAGGCCCGAGACACACACTTTTCACCTTCCATGTGGAGAGGCAACAATTACATTGGAGGATGTCTCTATGCATCTGGGGCTTCCCGTCGACGGAAATATGATGTGTGGTATGGCGGATGGTGATTGGCAATCAATGTGCATTGATTATCTTGGAGCTGCTCCGCCAGAGTTTAATGGAGGTAGAATAGCTTTATCTTGGTTGAAAGCTAATTTTGAGGTTTTAAATGAAAATGCTTCAGAGGATCAAGCAAAGGCATGTGCTCGGGCATATATTCTACGAATAATTAGAGGAATATTGATGCCCGACAAATCTCGCAACCAGGTGCATTGTATGTGGTTGCGGCATCTGATCGATTTTGATGAAGCTGGAAGATATAGTTGGGGTGCTGCAGTTTTGGCATTTCTCTTTAGAGAAATGTGTCGGGCGACGAATTATAAGAAAACTGCTATCGGTGGATGTCTTCTGCTTCTACAATCATGGGCGTGGTTCCGCATGCCTTTCTTATGCCCGATCGTGAATGAACCATACGTATTCCCCTTATTGTTGAGGTAATTTTCGAACTAAATTTTGATTTAAATATTTTCAATTAAATAGGGTGATATTTAGTTTATATTATATTTCATAGGTGGTCGATGAAAAGAAAGGACCATAAAAGTATACCTACTGTTTTAGAGGAAATTCGTTTACTTATTGATACGAAAGCTGGGTCTGAGGTATGTTTTTAAATTTGTTTAATTATTAATATTTTAATTTAAAATGTTAGATATAATTAGAATATTTTATTTATTTGAATTGTATATTTATATTTCAGTTTCAGTGGATACCTTATGCGAGCGATGAAGTGAAAGCTTGCATCCCACCCCACCTTAGTGGGTCATTAGAGGTATGGATATCGGTTATACCTCTTATATGTTATGCTATTATTGAGTGGCATCCAGTTGATCGCGTGCTCCGTCAGTATGGTTGTACGCAATATATTCCTGGAGCTCCTAGAAATTTAGACGACGTGCATAACATAGATAGACGGGGAAAGAAAGATGTTAACTGGGTGGTGAGACACAGAGATTGGATTGCGCTTTGGGAGAACCGATATACACTGTTGGCCCCTCGACAATATTACGCTGAAACTGGTCATATGGTTACGGATAACTATATGGACTGGTTTAATGAAAATGGGAAGCCGTTTCTACTTTCGGCGGAAGCACGAGGGGTTAACATTCCTAGGCGCCGAGAAAGACGTCAACCGTCTCAATATCATCGTCCCCCGACGCGTGGACGGAGAGAAGGCGCTACCGATTCTGCATCAGTCCCACCACAACATCCTTATTCGTCGATGCCGCAGGGGTACATGCCCAGCCCTCCACTTCATATGCCAAGCCCACCAGTTTATATGCCATCTCCGCAGGGTTACATTCCGAGCCCGCAGGGTTACATTCCTAGCCCGCCAGGTTACATGCCTAGCCCGCCAGGTTACATGCCTAGCCCGCAGGGTTTTATACCATATGGAGGTGCATATACGACTATGCTTAATGATCCAGCATATGCTTCATATGCATCTTATTTGGCTGGTGGTGCTTCTCCGCAGACACCTCAATCTTCATCTGGATCACATACATCGATGCCAATGTTTCCACAGTTTCCACAGTTCCCGGGGAGCGGTGGGATTGTTACTAGCACTCCTCCAGGGTCGTTATTTTATACAGGCCCTTCAGCCCCTTCAGCGTCATCTACACCAAATGAAGAAAATGCTGCTGATGATGATAGTGAAGATGAGGAGACTGAAGAACAAGTTCCACGAAGAAATCCTCCACGAAATAGGCAACCACCGCCATGTGGAACTCATTCGAGACGACGGCATCGGTGATCCAGTTATATTTAATGTTATTTAAATAATTAAATTTCAGAATTTTATGTAATTTGGTTATGTTATTTAAATGTTTCATGGTTGTTACATACATATTTTTAATGTTATTTTTTATTCACATTTAACATTAAATGTTTGATAAATGTTTTTAAAATACAAATTATATTATTCGAAATTTAAAATAAAAATAAAAATAATATTATTCAAATTTAAATTTAAAATATAAATTATAGTATTCGAAATTTAACATTAAATTTTAACTTAATATTCCAATTGTATTCGAAATTAAAAGTTATATTCCAATTATAGTTCACAATACTTAAATTGAAATTAAATTTATCCATACATATGATTTTATCATTAACATATATATTAAAACGTATACATTAAAATCAACTTATGTTGAGTTCATCGATCGACGGAATCAACCAAGAGGGGGGTGAATTGGCAATTTATTCAATGTCACATTTCAATGCTCATTCCATACAATTTCAATGTCACAATCAACTTATCACTTCACATTTATTCAATTTATCAATAACATTTTATCTAATTTATTCAAACTTCACATAACGTTTTAATTTAAGTTATTCTTAACTTGTTGAACATTCAAAAGAAGTTAAATTTAAGTTATTCCCCGAGGGACATGAGTGACATAATAGGGCAATGATAATATTCTCTGACGAAATAATGGAAGGCGCGCCCCCGGGAACGCGCCTTCACGTGAATAGTGAAATAATAGGTACTGATATATCTAGTGTCCCCGAGGGACATGAATGACATAATAGGGCAATGATAATATTCTCTGACGAAATAATGGAAGGCGCGCCCCCGGGAACGCGCCTTCATGTGAATAGTGAAATAATAGGTACTGATATATCTTGTGTCCCCGAGGGACATGAATGACATAATAGGGCAATGATAATATTCTCTGACGAAATAATGGAAGGCGCGCCCCGGGAACGCGCCTTCACGTGAATAGTGAAATAATAGGTACTGATATATCTAGTGTCCCCGAGGGACATGAATGACATAATAGGGCAATGATAATATTCTCTGACGAAATAATGGAAGGCGCGCCCCGGGAACGCGCCTTCACGTGAATAGTGAAATAATAGGTACTGATATATCTAGTGTCCCCGAGGGACATGAATGACATAATAGGGCAATGATAATATTCTCTGACGAAATAATGGAAGGCCCGCCCCCGGGAACGCGCCTTCACGTGAATAGTGAAATAATAGGTACTGATATATCTAGTGTCCCCGAGGGACATGAATGACATAATAGGGCAATGATAATATTCTCTGACGAAATAATGGAAGGCGCGTCCCCGGGAACGCGCCTTCATGTGAATAGTGAACCGATTATAGAAACTATTATATGCAACGTATTATAAACTTTCAAAACAAACTTCAGTTCACAATCTTTCAAATTCTCAAATTCCCAAACTCTAAATTCTCAAATTCTCTGAAAATGAGTCGTCTTTCTGTTGTTGTTTTGTATGATGGAGAAATTAAGGAAGCTGAAGAGGGGGTTGTTTTTGAGTCAGGTCATTATATCCCCTTAACCTTGAAGAGAAACATCACAATTGAGGAGTTAATCACAAAAATTTCGTTAAAGATTCGTGTAGCAGGCCAGAGAAGACTATCTTCACTTCAATACAGATTTCCTACTGAACTTTTTCCGCTCACGTATACATCATTTCAGCTTTCAAACGATGATGATGTTTCTATGATGGTTGATGCTCATATGGGGAGTTCACAATCTCTTATTGAAATGTATGCCACTTTTATTGAGGTTCGTGTAACTCGTGGTCTCTCATATTCCTCTCACTTTGGCATTGCATATCAAACAGATCAAGTTGATAGCCCGACACAACTTATCTGTAATGATTTCACATCATTAATGGCGGATCCAACGCCATATACCATGCCATCAAGTTCAATAGGATGGCATTCATCTGCAACTGCTTATGATCTCAACCCACGTGGCTTCACCAATAATCCATATGGCAACATCTCTTCTACTTCAAGGGGCAGACATTCATCTGCCAATGTTTTCGACTTACATATGGAAATGCCATCGAGACGACAGTCTATTCACATCCCACATGATACAATGGCCTCAAGTTCAAGGGGAGGACACGCAAGCGGGAACTTATTTGACCTCAACATTGGATTATCGGAGGAACCCTCATCTCCACCAGAAGAACCTCTTCGGGAGCCAGGTGCAGATGGTGCTGAAACGGGATTATTCGTTGAACCTGACTCACCACAGTTTAACGTACATTCTGATGATGACGAGGATGACGTTCCGATAAATACAACACCAGCCGAACTTCCTGCACATATGTATGAGGCTGATTACGATGCAATGTATGAGCCTGAATTTCCAGATCTTCCTGATGTTGGCAACTATGGACTTCAATCATCAGTCAATGACGGTAATTTACATATTGGAATGGAGTTCGCATCGAAGGAGGAAGCAATGATGGCAATAAAGAGTTACAATATTCGTAACTCAGTTCAGTCCCGAGTTGATCGATCTAACACGGAGAAATATGTCTGCTACTGCGTCCAACGTCACAACGGATGTCAATGGATGGTCCGTGTATCAAAGAGGAAGAGGAAGAACAACTTATGGGAACTAACCAGATACAACGGTCCTCATACATGTTGTGCAACAGGTATAAACCAGGATCATCCCAACTTGGACTCCAACATTATTTGTCAAGCAATCATGCCCATTGTGAAGCAAAGCTCTCATATAGCTGTTGCATTGTTGATTTCTGCTATACAGTCACAATATGGGTACACTGTCTCATATAAAAAAGCGTGGTTGGCAAAACAGAATGCCATTTGCAAACTTCATGGCGAATGGGATTCCTCTTACAACGAGCTGCCCAGTTGGTTTCATGTTGTGCAAAGACTTAATCCCGGGACAATTGTTGAATTCGAAACTCAACATCATTACGTGAATGATCGAATGGTTCGCGATCGCTGCCAATTTTACCGAGTCTTTTGGACTTACCCTCAGTGTATTAATGCAGTCAAGTACTGTAAACCAATTGTCCAAATTGATGGTACTTTCTTGTATGGGAAATACAAGCAAGTTTTATTATTGGCTGTGGTCCAAGATGGAAACCGCAATATTCTTCCTGTTGCGTTTTCCCTCGTTCAAGGAGAAGACACTGAGTCTTGGGCTTTTTTCCTTAAAAATTTACGTTTACATGTTGTCACCAGGGAACGACTATGCATTATTTCAGACCGAGGAGCCGGGATAAAAGCAGCAATGGACTCTTTGGGTAAAATGTATAGACCTCCACATGTTCAACATCGTTATTGTGTCCGTCATATTGCTGCAAACTATTACGGAAAATACAAGAAGAACGATGAACGTCAGTTAGTCGTGCGGATGGGTATGTTACTTTTTCCCAATTTTTCTATCAATTTCTTATTACTTATTTATACTTCATATTAACTATTACATATTCCTAATGGCTTAGGTTACGAACTCTTACCTCAAAGGTTTGAGTCGATGCTACAAGAGCTGTTTGGCAAAAATAAGAAGGGGTGCGAGTACATTATGGACATCAGCAAAGAAATGTGGACAAATGCATATGACGGGGGGTATCGCTATGGTCATATGAAAACAAACTTGGCTGAAGCAATAAATTCAACCTTAAAGGGGGCGCGTCATTTACCAGTCACGGCGTTGGTCAAAACGACTTATTTTCGTTTGGGTCAACTCTTTGCAAAACTCGGTGGACAAGCTCTTACTTGGATGCAAAACGGACATATTTACCACCCAAGACTAGTAGCCGATTTACAGAAAAAAGTGGTTACATCAAATGGGATGTTAGTTACAAATTTTTCTCGCACCCGTGAATTGTTTCGTGTAACCGAAATGCCACGTCCGCTGCAAGGGATTGAAGCTAACTCTTTCAGAGTTAATCTGCAAGAGAGGTGGTGCGATTGTGGTTTCTTTCAAGCACTCAAATATCCATGCTCTCATGTCATTGCTGCTTGCTCACATTCGCATTTGGACTACAAAAATTATGTTGATCCCGTATACCAACTTTCACAAGTTTTCAAGGTATATGAATTTGAGTTTCCGCCCATAGGAAACGAAAGATACCCAAATGAGATTCAAACTTGGCTTACAATTGTACCAGATCCATTGCTATTGAGGGACTCAGGTCATCCAAAATCTACTAGAATACATTGTGATATGGATATTCGGGAGAAGTCAACAGAACAAAAACGATGTGGGCATTGTAGAAACATCGGGCACAATAGAAAAAAATGCCCAGCTCTGTTATCATCATATAACCGTTAACTCTTATGTAATTAAAGTTTTTAAATGAATGTTTTTATTTCTAATAATTTAATGTTATTGCATTTATATAATTTGTCAATGTATGTACACCTAAATAAATTTTTTTAACTTTTAAATACATAAATATATTTAATATAATTATTTAATATAATATTTAATATTATTAGTTATAATTTTTTCGTTATAACTTTTAAATTTATTAAATTAAATTTTCAATAAGACTAATTTTATAAAATATGTAAGTCTTGAAGATTAAATATGTAATCATACTAATTTATTAACTTATGCATCAATATTTTCGTTAAATATTGACTAGATTGATAACATTTAAATAATTAACTGATAAATTAATAGATCAATAATCAAAATCAAAAATACTCGAAACTTGATAATTCTTACATTATAATCGAAACATTTTACATAATATATTATTAATTTATAATAATAATAAAAATAAACTATTTATTATAAACAAAATACGTGTCTGCTGAGTTGGCAAAGGCGCGTCCCCGGGGACGCGCCTTTCACACGTGGCATCCAACTCAGCGAAAAACACGGGTAAAGCGCGCCCCCGGGGACGCGCCTTTGCCAACTCAGCAGAAAGGGTGCTAGTTCTGGAAATATTGATCAAACGGTGTCAGAAAAGTAAAATTAAAATCAAACGGTGTCAGTTATGTAAAAACCCCTGTAAAATGCACACCCCTGCGTTGCCCGGATTGTAGTACAAAAGCGATCTGCGTTGCAGTCAATGCCGCTGCTTCCTGATACGACAATGATATAAGCTTCAATATCAACTCATATATAAAATCATGTCTGTGATGTAAGGATTCAAGGTCTGAAGAAAAGCGATGAGAGGGGTGGATAAAAACGGAAAAGGAATATATGTTTAACTTGCCACTTTTCTTGGTCTCCTCCGCCAGGAAACACACACAAGTTTTAAAATTGAAATATAAGTAAAGAGATAATAACCTGTCTTTGTCTTTGTCGCTGTAATATACTGACGGCCCAAGCCATTATGTAGCATGGCAAGAGAAATCCAGCAGCACGAAGCAAGAAAAGCTGCACAAATAACCAAACAATTTAAGAGAAAATGGCTCAATGCATATGCTTAAAGAAGTGTTAATGTGAAATATGGGATGCAGCTTGAGGTAAAACTTACAGAGAAAAAAGTAGACACGTCGTCCTCCGTATCAGCATCTGGAACAGTCAATGCATGCCGCAACAGCAGAAGGGCCATTAACTGACAAAATTGAAGAAAACATCAATCATTTTGAAAGCCAATTCTTAATTAATTGGTCATGTAAGAGAAATTAACTGCTTTTAGATTTCAAGGGGAAAAGGAAAAATAAAGGAACCAAAAGAAAGTTAGTCTTGTGAAAAATTTCAACCGAGATACTTGTAGCCCAGGACAGAATCTGGGTGGTTTTCCTTCAGACATCAAAGTTGGGAGGTGAAGGCTCAAAAGGATGGTATAAGTTATTCTCTCCACTGTTGAGAAAACGGGAAGGAGGGGCTACTGCAATTGTGCCACTGCCTCAAGTTTCTATTTAGATGAAGGGATGTTGGGAGCTAAAAACCCAAAAATCATGTAAAACGATAAAAGTAGGTTTCTCCACTGTTAATGCAATTAGTATTCCACCCCAGCACCCCCCAACCCGGGGGGGGGGGGGGGGGGGAGGGGAGGGGAGGGGGTTGTGGAGGGCTTATGTTAAACATGGTAAGAAATTGAATATGTCCAGCAACTTCGTAAATAAAAGCTTACGATTAGAACAGCTGAACGGAAAAAGGCAACTCCACTGGCATTTGATGCAGCATATTCATCATACTCTGCTTCCAAAAGTTGCCTTTCTGCCTCTGCAATGTCCAAGAGTCGAGGATCACCCAAATCCAGAGGGGTGCCAGAGATTGTCCAGACTCCACTAATAGACAGATGCAGAAAACAATACAATGCAAAAATAAAGTTTAGATCAAACTTTGTGATGGATTTCATGCTTGATAAATATCACAGAATATGTAAGTTTTATCTTACAAGTTACAATAAGTCCACCAATCATTGTATAGAAATGTCTTATATGGGAGACCGTCAAACTTACCCAATATCAATAGCAGTTTCTTCAGTTTGAGCACAAGCCGGAGCAGTATAACCCGGTTGATAAGGCTGCACAGCAAATTGAAAGGGCAAACCACATCAGCAAGGAGACTCACCAACCAATTACCAATAGCCACTGAACAAGAAATAAAAACTTAACAAGCCTTACGTGTTAGTAAGGGATGAAAGGAAATGAACATGATAGGCGGTGCTAAGAAAACAAGGGCTTTTCCCATCATTCAAATGATTAAATAATATTCTTCCTAAAAAAGCAGTTGATACTTGATACACCCTACATTCCATACTCATTTGCAGCTACTTTTTTCAAAATCCACAAACTCTGATACCTTACAAACAAAAAAGGCCTACACAAGCTAGTTGAAGGTCTTGTGACAAATTAAAAGGATGGAATCAAAATGGAGCAAGCAATGCATGTTTCTAACCAAAAGAAAATCTAATAAGGGAATTAAGGCAAGTAAATACCTGATGACATATCTCGCAAATGATATCTCCTTTCTCGTTGCACCAATGCTGCACGCATTTCCTATGCGCATACTGCAATTTAAAACAGATGGCATTAATAATACCAAAGCAGTAATGCTAATTGCAAAACTTAGCTTGCTAATGAAGTTCTTTAAACTGAAAGTCGAATTGTGAAAACTCAGGAAAATGCACTTTATATTCTAAGAAGGTATAATAATAATAATAATAATAATAATAATCATATTAATAATTCTTAATCAAACTTTTATCATGAACACAAAATAATAACAATAATAATAAATATATAAAAGAAATTACCTTGAGGCTTCCGCTGCAGGCACAAGGAGTCTCAAGATTCTCAATGGAATCTTCCTCCTGGCAAATGCGGCACTCCGCCGCTTGAATGAGCGGCTCCTCCTCTTCCTCGGCTCCTTGGACGATTTCCTTTTCTTTCGCGGAGCACGATGTATCTGAAATCTCCGTTGAGGGAGCAGCCTCCGACTCCACAGGCTGTAATGGCACCGGCCTCACCAGACGATCCACATACAACACCAGGTGATTACTCATAATTTCTAAAAACTTGACAAAATATTTTCAATTTTTACAATCCAAAAATAATAATAAACCCCGGAATCGCGCTGGGTAAGAGCAGCGAACCGGAGGTTTGGGGAGAAATGAGGAGGGGGGATATCTTGAGAAAAGTCACCTTTTGCTGAGAAAATGGAGGAATTTATGCTGGATGAAGGGAACGAATAAATCGGAGAGAAAATTTCTAAATAATATTTGTTTTGCTGCCAACGCTTCCTTTTTCCAAGGACTAGAGGTTTTGTAGGTTTATACATTAACGGCTCCAAGGTTATTTTTGGAATTTCGTATTGGCCATTGCGCGTTACCCAATCTATATTGGTTTACCCCTTCTTCTCTTTCCGTCACTGTCTCAGCAGTTGAAACTGCTAAACTCAGATACTCCATATATTATTATTAGAAGCGTAAACTACATTTTTATGTGTAAATAATCTAGGCAGGTCGATTATTTAGCCTAATAGGACCCTCTGAATTTTATTTTGGAATATATGATAAATACTACAGTGTCTATAGAATTCGTTATGTCGATGTGACGAATTTCATAGGATATTATTTTTTAATGGGCATTGTAACGTGAGTTTCACTGTCCGAATATATTTAATATATCTTACGGGACTCGTCATGCCCGTGTGACGAATCCCAATAAAAAATATTTTTTTAGAAAATTTTAAAAACATTGTAAAAAATATAATTTTAATGCTGAAAGAACTCGTCACACCGGTGTGACGAGTTCCAACATGTATAATTTTGAATTTATTGACCGTTGTTGCAGTCAATTTTTTTTTAATTCAACGGAACTCGTCACCCCGGTGTGACGAGTTCTAACGGCTATTTTCAATTTGAAAAAACTAATCGTTTATAGTTGTTGGATAGAGTAGTATAAATAGAAGTTTGGGTTAGATTGAATTTTCACTTGGAATTAAACATTCTATTAAGAGTAAAAAAATTTGTGTTGAAGATTTAGTGTTGAAATGGCATCAAGAGAAGAAATATTACGTCTTGATGATGTTCATATTTCGTAGACCGAGTTGTAGAGAGATCTAAAAAAATAGAAAATGGCATATGTAAAAATATTGATTTGTATGGTTTTAGTTTATGTATGAAGTTGTCTTTATTAATTAAGTAATTATTGTCTCATTAAAATCCAAAATTTTATTTATCATTAGAATGGGAAGTTATACTTATAAAAATGATTACTTTTGAGTAAATTGCCAATTAAAAAATTGTATCCTACATTTTCAATTTAATTTTGAGAAAATAACCTCAGTGACCAAAAATCTTAGATAATATACGATTTTGACCAATTTTTTTTGGATTTGCGAAAATGACCAACAAAATCGCAATGCGATCTCTAATTCGCATTGCGATCTCCACTATCGCAAATTCACGTTGCATTTTGCATTGCGATAGTTGAAAAACGCAACGCGATTTTCCATTTCGCGTTGCGATAGTTGGAGATCGCGTTGCGATTTTCCATTTCGCGTTGCGATAGTTGAAATCGCAACGCGATCTCCATCATCGCAAATTCGTGTTGTATTTCGCGTTGCGATAGTTGAAAATCGCGTTGCAATTTTCCATTTCGCGTTGCGATAGTCTACAGTCGCGTTGCGATTTTCCATTTCGCGTTGCGATAGTTGAAAATCGCGTTGCGATTTTCCATTTCGCGTTGCGATAGTTGAAAATCGCGTTGCGATAGTTGAAAATCGCGTTGCGATTTTCCAAATTCGTTGCGATTTTCCAAATTCGTTGTGATAGTTAAAAAAAAGATTTTGTTTCTTAAGAATTTTCTCTAAAAAGATAGTATCCGCGCGGACGTGTCGAAGAAACGTATTACCACGACCACGACCACGACCACGACCACGACCCGAGACGAGACGAGACGAGACGAGACGAGACGAGACGGACGGCGGCGGCGGTGCGCGAGAGTCCCCCTTGTTCTATATTACTCAACAAGGAAGTGGGAAAGCCAAGCCTTAAATACCATTCCCAATAGTGTTTCCAATACAATGTGGGATTGAGCATTACCAACACTTGTTTCCAATACAATGTGATTATTCAGGAAACAATTAACAATCATGCACCTTAAAACAACTGAATCAACAACCAATTACATTAGTATTATACGATTAAATATGTCATAATTCAAAGTCAATCTATAATCAATCGCGATTATTGCAATTTTAAGCAAAACATTCAAAAATAATATCACTATTTAAGGCTCAATCCCACATAGTATTGGGAACAAGTATTGGTAATGCTCAAATCCCACATAGTATTGGAAACACTATTGGGAATGGTATTTAAGGCTTGGCTTTCCCATTTCCTTGTTGAGTGATAGAGAACAAGGGGGACTCTCGCGCGCCGCCGCCGCCGTCCGTCTCGTCTCGTCTCGGGTCGGGTCGTGGTCGTGGTCGTGGTCGTGGTCGTGGTCGTGGTCGTGGTCGTGGTCGTGGTCGTGGTCGTGGTCGTGGTCGTGGTCGTGGTCGTGGTCGTGGTCGTGGTCGTAGTAATACGTTTCTTCGAAACGTCCGCGCGGATACTATCTTTTTAGAGAAAATTCTTAAGAAACAAAATCTTTTTTTAACTATCGCAACGAATTTGGAAAATCGCAACGACAACTGTAGACTATCGCAACGCGAAACAGAAAATCGCAACGCGACTGTAGACTATCGCAACGCGAAATGGAAAATCGCGTGCGATTTTTCAACTATCGCAACGCGAAATGGAAAATCGCAACGCGACTGTAGACTATCGCAACGCGAAATGGAAAATCGCAACGCGATTTTCAACTATCGCAACGCGAAATGGAAAATCGCAACGCGATTTTCAACTATCGCAACGCGAAATGGAACGCGAATTTGCGATAGTGGAGATCGCAATGCGAATTAGAGATCGCATTGCGATTTTGTTGGTCATTTTCGTAAATCCAAAAAAAGTTGGTCAAAATCGTATATTATCTGAGATTTTTGGTCACTGAGGTTATTTTCTCTTTAATTTTTAAATAAAATAATAATTTTAATTTTAATTTCTTTAAATATTTTGATTTTCAATATTTTATTTTAATGGTAAACTGCTCATGATTTGATAAAATCATTAGTTTACCATTATTTACTAATAGTTTACAATTATATAAACATAGTGAAAATAATACAAGTTAAAAAAACATAGTTACAGTAAAAAAAACCTAGTTACAGTATATAATATTTTGTAATGCATATTTTAACGTCGAGCTTGATATCTTGGAAGATGTAGATAATGTTTTCTGTCATGACCTTCACCTCTACAGTGGCCACAAAGTTTTTGTAGACCTGACTCTCTTTGCGGATCATCCATATCGGTATGAATTCGGCTAGATTCAGGTCGACACTGTAACTTCCTACGCAATTGAGGATTTGGCAATCATTCCTCATAAATTATGCATGTAGACCAGTATGCTTCATTTGGAAGGTACTTGAAGTCACAACTGTAAATGTTACGCATAGTGTGCAAGGTATAATAGTCATCAGCATATAAGTATGGGTCAACATTGATGTGCATACATGCAGCAACAACGTGAGCGCATGGGAACCTAAAAGCTTGAAATCGACCACAATCACAATATCTTCTATTCATATTACCAGTGTATGTTATAGAATTACCTCCCTCATGTGGTCGAACTAGTGTTTGGGCAACGAAATCATAATCAAGTCTGGCAAAATTATGGACAAACATTGATGTCGCATGTGTTTGATTCTTTAGCATTACCTTCTCAAAAACTGGAGCCCAATTTCTCCCATCATTGATCATGGAATCAATTTGTGCAGTTTTGTCTGCCCATGGTTTACCCAACCTAAAAGTAAGTCTCCCTAACAATACTTGCTATCGGTAGATGTCGAGTCCCTTTCAGCATTGAGTTGATACTTTCAGCAAGTTTGGTAGTCATATGGTCGTAACATTGACCCTCAACATTATATGCTTGTGATCATCTCTCCCTAGGGATTTTAGTTACGAATTCATACACATCATCTCCGTATTTTTTCAAATTTTCAAGCCATATACGAAAGTTTGGTTAGAGTAAAGCATACCCTAAAAAATAGTAAATTAATTGTTATTAAGAAATAAAAGAACATAAATAAAGCAAAAATAATTAATAAGAAATGATATAATATTTACCCATGTTGATAATCTCTTTTTTGATCTTTTCTGCTTAAACATCTTCATTCCATTCGACGCAATATGACGTATACAATAGCCAAGAAATGAGTGTGGAGGCGTTCATCTATTTTCGGGTCTAGAAATTGTGTTTAACAACCCGGCGATCGATCTGAGATGATTGAAAACATAGGAACGCAAGTTGGAGAGAAAGAAATTCCAAGTTTCCCCCGATTCATTTTTAACAATGGCGAAGGCAATGAGGAAAATATTGTCTCTATATTGTGCAGCGACTATCATCAAGACGTGTCTGTAGAGCCCATACAGAAAAGTTCCATCGACTTGAATCATTTGTTTGCAAAATCTAAACCCTTCGTAGCTGACTTAAACGCCCAGAACAAGGCACCAAAAATTCTCTTCTCGGGGATAATGTCTCTTTCAAACGCACTGCATGATGAATATTGTACCTAACAATGTTTCTAGGGTTGAAAAATTTCATTGCTTGCAGTAGACGTGGTAGCTCATTATATGACTGATCTCAATTACCATACAACAAGGTCATTGCTTTCTATTTAGCCATTTATGACTTGTAATAAGTCAAAATATAACTAATTGTATTCCGAATGGATGCCACTAACACAGAAACTAGCACTCTTGGATTTTTTCCACCAACAGCTTCACATAAAAGTATATGACATCCGAATCTAAATGTATGTGGTCTTGTGTCAATGAGGTCATTGTACATGCATGTTGTACATTGATCCTTGTGACTTCCCACAACATCTTCCGTTGTAGGTATGATACTTGTATCCTCAATTTACAGCCAACATCATGATCTATACACCGTACGAAATAAGTCTTTTGATCTGACTCCGTGACATATAATTGAATATGAGCTTTGATGCAACACTCATTGATTGCTAATTGTGCCTCTTTTTTGTTTCAAACTGAGACCCAATGACCAACTAAGATGATCGCTCGTCTGAAGAACCCCAATGGGCAGCACATAACTTTGGCATATCATATATTTCAAGATTTCGCATAGCATCATAGTTAATTTCATGCATTTCA